AACTCCTCCACCCCTCCCACCCCCCCTTCCTCCCATCCCCCCTTAGCTCAGGGCACAGGGCAGGAGGGTAGGATTCTCCTACACATTGTTATTTTAAGATTTAATAGCAAGACAAAAAAGTGTTTCTCTCCCACTTGCTTTTCAAGCTCTGAGAAGGTCAAGTTGGCAGACTGTAGGTGGGCTTACTCTCTTTATCGCCCGTGCTTTTCACAGCTGAAGAAGTTTTTTTTCTGTCAAGGATGCTATCTGACAGTTGAGAAAGCTGGTATATTTGTCCTCCCTGTGTGTGCACATGCAAGCGTGCCTCACATTACCTAAGATTGCTTCACATTATCTAAGATGGCTGGTATCTCTGTGTTTTGTGTTACAATCTAGCCTTGTGCTGTGACACTTCAGGGACAGCCAGGAAGACTTCAGTGTGGGCTTAAAGAGGCCTGCTGGGCATAAGTGAAACAAGGGAGCGGTTACAGGGCTTGGACCTGGCAGGAAACCCTCTGCTGGGTTACCAAGCCCAGCTGGCAGCTACAGGTTTTGGCTCTATTATGTCTCTTCCTTAGACCCTGCATCCCTCTGCTTTTGGAGTTGTAGTTCCCAGAAAGCCAGCCTCTCACTCCATGGTTTGCTTCCATGGCATTGCAGCTTGGTTGAAGGTCTCTGCGTAAGATGTTTCCAGTTAAAACATTTGACCTTCCTACTACTGCTCTGCCTCTGTTCCTTTCTCCACTTGGGCTTTCACATTTTGGCTTTGTGCTTGAACTGGGGGACCCGACTTTTGTCTTGACAGAGGCTGAGCACCAAAGCTATGTGAGCTGGAGTGCTTTCTGCTAATTCTGAAGCTGTCAGATGTGGAGCTGGCCCAGAAGGATATGCAGGGTTGAGAAATTGCTTGTTGCTGGGAAAGTAAGGAAGAAGAGGCGGTGACGTTGGCTTGTGGCTCCACCTGTCAGCACACCCCCTCTCTGTTTAAGAGAGGATAGTGGCTGGCTGGATTAGCAAAAGAGACCTGGAAAGCCTGGTCTCCTCAGAGCGTGGTGCAGGGACAGCAGTTGCTCCTGGACCAGTTTGAGGTGATGGTGTAGGGGCAAGAGCCAGCCAGGCCTGCTCCTGTGGGGCTGCCTGGAAGACTTGGAGGGTTGTGGAGCTTCCTTTCCCCTCTGTCTTGTCTCTTTGTCCTTCTCTAAATGGGATGAGTAGGTGACTATGATGGTGCATCTTTAGCTGGCTACTTCTCTCGGGTTCCTTGGCCTCCCTCTCTGCCTTTTATGCCTAGGATGTACTTTCTGGCTCCCCGCTTTCTCTCTGTCCACCCTCTGCCTATTTGACATGCTTGTGTGGTTCCTTCCTCTCTCCCACATGGCCTGGGCACTCATGGCAGCTTTTGCAGAAGTTCTTTACCTTTTGTCCAGCTGTGAAGGTATCTGTGCTCGTGATAAAATATTCTGCTTCATTTTCTCTGGAGAAGATGAGGTGGCTCTTGGTTCTTGTCATCTTTTTATTCTAACACCAGGAGTTTAGAGAGGTAAATGAGGACGGTCAGTCCAGCAGCTGGACTGAGTATGCCCTGCCATATCCCAGTTCTTCTGAGTGCCTTAGATTTGGGAGGTGATGGAAAGCTGAAGAAGCAAGCTGCAGGGAAAGGCAAGTGCTTCTTTGAAAGCCTCAGATTCTTCTAGTGGTTGGGGCTGGCATCTGTAGTAAGGATCATCTCTCCCAGCGTGGCCTGGACAGACTTTTTTCTCAGGGTTTGTGTTCAGCTTTGTTGTTAAAGAGGATGACTGCCTTCTCCTCATGTTCCTAAGGCAGGTTTCATGTTGCCCTGTCTTCATTCAAAGCAGCATGCAGAAGGATGGGAGTGTGGGAAGATGTGTAAGCGTGGGCCTTGAGTGCGGTGGGGGGAAAGGCTGCCTGAACTGTGGGGCTCTAACAAAGACAGTCAGGGCAGCTTGGACAGGAGGCAGAGAGGTGACATTTTGAATTCACTGAATTATTTGGAGTACTTGTAAAATCAGCTGATAGTGGCAAATGAAAAATATCCCTTGTGTACTGAATTTTTACACTGTCCTTCATTCTACAGGTCTGGTCTCTTCCAGTTAAAATCTAGTCTGAGGAAGAGCTTGGAATTGAGTTAGATTTTAGAAGATGTCAGCTTGGAGCTCAACAGTGGTCAAAAAAGCAAATCGGCTTTTGGGAAGTAGGAGGAAAAGAGAATGACCTGGAGAGTGCTGTTATGCTCCATAAATAAATCCATGGTACATTCAGCTATTTGATTCTATGTGTGGCCCTGGTCCTCTTGTCTCAAAAAAGATGTAGCAGACCAGCAAAGGTTCAGAGAAGGGCAACATGGCTGCTCAGAGGCCTGGGATGCCCGTTTAGTTGTTCCTAAAGCAAAAGGCCTGGGCTCTTCAGGTGGGGGAAGGCAGTGAGGCAGGGTGTGATGGACGCCTGGAAGCTGCATGGTGAGGGAGGGTGGGTGCGGCTGTCTGCTGTCTCTTCCACTACAAACCTGGAAGAAGCAATGGCAATAGCAGATGGTAGACATGCACCCGAACAAGACATTTTGTGTCTCACATGGCAAATTCAGCTTTGGGGTCCACGTCCGTGCGTAATGTGAGCGCTGGACGCTTCTGTGGGTTCAGAAAGGAGCAGCACAGATTGATGGAGGGGGCCGTCAGGGTTTCTTAATGCAAGGACTTGTCTGGTTTGGGATGCGCAGGTGGAGCATGGCAGTTCTGCTCTTGCTGGGTCTTAGGTGGAAAAAGGAAGGGATATCGAGGCCTGGAGATGGCTTATAGTGTTGCAACAGGACTGGAGACAGGCTTCCCCTGCCCCCGTGTGGTGGTCCTAAATCCAACGAGGTCCCTATGTGCAGCAGAGGGAGGCAGCCGGGGGCCTGTGCGGTGGCTCAGGCCGCCAGTATGTGCAGAGAGGGGACATGGCTGCCACCAGGGCAGTGTGGGACAGCTGGGGCAAGAGGAGGACCCGGACTGTGGCCATGGGGCTGCGCGATGTGCCAGGGGCTAACTAAACAGCAGAGCATGGTTACTTCCACGTGATGAAAAGCTTCATCTGGAAGACATGCTTTGATGCCCTGGAGCCAGAGGGATGCAATCCTGTAGGAAACAAAGCCACCGTTGTGCTGGGACTTGGAGGGTATTGCCTGTAGCCTCCAACGAGAGAGGGGACGTCTCTCTACTTTTTTTCCCCTTAGTTTTCCTCAATTTGTTAAGTGACCAGCTTTTGCTGCTCTTTTGGCTGTGGTTATTCTGAGGGAACAGGGAGGAGCACGATACATAAGTTGGAAAGGTCAGCATCTATTGCAGGGTTAGCATCTTGGTTAACATGAGTGGTTATGTGTGC